TCAATTTATTTATTTATTTAATTTCATTAGAAATAGGAAAAAAATTTTTAAAAAAAAAATTAAAATGATAAATTTTAGATTTGGAAAAAAAATTTAAAAATTTTGTAGTAAAAAAAGAAGGAATATTATAAATTGTCAACGATTGAAAAATATGTTCACCAAAACAGTTTTTGTAGAGGGAATTTTTAAAAATTTTTAAACATTCGCGATGAAACTACAAAGGAATAAAAGTGAACAGCGAACCGCGCAGAACATGAAAAAAAAAGTTGTTTCAGTTGAGTTAACTAAAAACCTTAAATGAATACAATTATTAAGTACCATATTTATTGCGCTATCAGTATTTAATATTTATACTTATTGTTTTCTTTTTATGAATTGATCCGATTTTCATGGATCAATAAGTTATTCATAAAATATCATTGAAAAGTAGCATCAAATAGTTTGAAGCTATTTTTGTGGTTTTTGTTCAAAAGAACGAAAATAGGCGAAAATAATAGCAGAAAATATCAAAATGAATTGGAAAGTGGATTTCCATTCGCTAATATTTTAATGTATCTTATAAATTTTTTTTTTAAATTGATTTTTATTTTATTAATGAATTAATTTTTTTATTTATTTCTTATTCATTCTTTTTTTCTTATTTATTCTTTTTCATATTTTCTTAATTCTTTAATTTTTGCAAATAACAAAAATGAATTAATTACATTAATTTCTCATGAATAACTTATAGTTTTATAGGTTGATGGTTACGCTTCAAAATTAATGGATTCGTAATTTGCTTATCTCAAATAATATCAAATAATATTCCAAGAATCAGATGAAGAAAATATTGAAAATAGAAGATCGCATTGCATTGCTTTATTAGCGAAAATTTCGATTAATTAATTTCTTCATGATGATTTATGACGATTGCTATACGCAAGGATTTTAAGTTTTCTTTCTTTCCATTCTTTCCATTTTTTTCATGTTTTCAACTAATAAAATCATTGCAACGAATCGCAAAGAGGTGAAATCAAATATGGTTTAAATCGTTTCATATAAAATGCTTTATATTTGCTTTATATTTTTAAAAAATCACTCGGCACAAAATAAAATATAAAAATAAAATGTAAAAAAAACCACAAAATTTAAAATTAAGAAAAAAATTAAAGTCATTATATAATATACAATGATGTAGTAACTGCACATAATAAGTGGTTTTCATTTTCCCAAAAATGAGCAAAGCGAACATCGGGAAATACGAATATAAATTTATAAGTTAATTTATATTTATACTGAGAATAAAACATTTGATTTTCAATTGAAAATCTCGGGAAATAATAAAATGCGACTGAAAAGCCCTAACCCCAATTAACCTCAAAAGAGTTCTCAGGATATGTGCATACGATGCATGAATTGCGATAGTTTCTGATGGACATCAAAGCATTTCAGGATACCGGAACGAGACTTCGCCGTCATTTTTCACCACTCCATTATCAATATTTTCTTAATTAAATATACTCGTTCCATATAATTTCTATGTTCCATGAATAGGTTAACCATAAATGTCTTTCTTGCAATTGAATCTCGAATGACTGAGTTATTCAAATTTTTTTTATAGCAACATTCCAGCTATATGATTTCTCTTTTCCTTAACTTCCTTTAATTTTAATTGATCCGAATTTTTCAATTAAAAATTTCATATATTCAAATTTTCAAATATCAAAAAATTTTGCAATAAAATATGTAAAGCGGTTGAATTTTACAACCTCAGTTTGTATTGAAAGCTCATAGTGAACGGTAGCTGCATTTTATGAGGGATTTCATAGGAATCACAAAGAGAATTATGCAATGACTATAGTGTGATAACAATGTTTGTCTATTAACCTATAGATTTCCAAAATTATCGTTTTTCATCGGAGTTTTTATCAAATCGGCGACATATCACCTTTCATTAGAAGGTCAATATCCGATCCATCGAGATCAAAGATTTCCTCTACATTTTTTTGTAGATTTTTTTATCATTTCATAGATGGGTAAATAAATTAAAACTGATTAGCGATGTTCGAACAAAATTTTTTTGTTTGATGAACGATAATTAAACAATTTTTACAACAGAAATTGATGACTATGGTCATTTTACGCGATTCTAGTAGAAAAAAAAATTTTTTACATGTATAAATTTTTTACATGAATAATTTATTAAATATTGAATAATTTTTGCAAATTTTCAGATATTTAAGTAAGTCAACTTCATTTAGCTCTTTCTAATTTTTAATAATTTTTTTGAATCATGAACCTCGCCATTCCACTTAAAAATTATCCTTGTAGACCTCAAGGGAATTTCTTTTATATGTTGTCCATATGCGATTTCATTCACTTAAAAATTAATTGTGTAAATGGTGGTTTTCGTTTAGGTTTACTTGCTAGTGCCATGAGAAACCAGATAATCATTCTACGACAGAGCTACGGTTAAATTCACAATGCCATTCGGATCATTTTTAAATGACCTCAATCTCAATGGCTATTTGGTTTATTCCGAGGTAAAATTTCATGGAGAAAAATGATCGTTTTTTTTCAGAATTACAATCTGCAAAAATTGAGATGGATCTGAGAAATTGTGTGTATTACGTGCGTTACTTCTCACTTTACAGTTATCTTTTCGTCGTTTAAATTTTTTTCCACGAGAACGATTACATAAATCCAATCAGCACGCGCAGAATTGATTTTTGATTAAATCTTCGAAAAAGAATTGCCATGTGAAAAGGATTTCTCGTTATGGGCAACTTGAATAAACTTCACTAATGGAGCAGACTCGCCCAACAAAACAGGTTTCTTAGCTTTCTTGATGAATATTTAGCCTATTCATTTCTCTTGCCATTTTACTGACCTGGCCAATACTTAAATTTTGTATCACTGCAAGCAGATTTCATTACAAACATTACAGACTAACAACTGTAATTTATATAAAAAATGCTACACTTTGAGGAAAGAATGGATAACTTCATTCTCAATGGTATATATCGATACGTTATTTCCATTAACAAGAATGGGAAATCTTTTTTTTCTAAGAATTTTAGTGCTTAACAAAACATTTGAATATATAATGCAAAATCTACTATGAATGGAAATGAAGATGATCCACTTTTTGCCAATTTGTTAACTTTCTTTCTTTTCAAATATTCTTATATAAATTTTAAAAAAGATTTATTAAATTCAAATTAAAAATGGGAAAATTGAAAAGAAAGAACATATTTCAGTGAAATAGCGAGAATTCTTAAAACTGAAAAATGCTGCAGATTCTATTATATATTAAATAATAAATATTTTTTATTAAATATTAAATATATTAAATATTTTAGCATCGAAAAGTTTAAAAAAAAAAAAAACGCTAATTTCCACATTAAAATTTAATAAACATTTTGCGCATTCGTTTTTGCACTCTTCTAGAATTGAATTGAATTTCTTCTCATTCATTCAGATATTCATTCATATTGCTGCAGTTAAAGACAAAATCAATCCTTTCTCTTATCTCTTTCTTATCTCTTCTAAAATCCATTTCGTAGTGAAGAAATTCACTAAAATTTCACTTCTATCTTTATGTAATTCGCTAGCGAAAAGTCTTAGTGTTTAGCAAGCAAAAAACGATAGGAATTCTTGAATTATCAACATTTATTCGCTAAATATTCATGCGTTCTGAAGAGAATTCGAAATATATCGTCAAATATGAATTATTGGCGAAGAGACTTGATTTTTTCAGTCGAGTAATTTAATCGCGTAGTTTATTTAATATAAAAACAGAATCATTTTTCAATTCGATATTAAATAAGTCGTGCAAAACAAAAAAAATAATTTTTTTCTCAACAATTGATTTCACTTTAATATTCTTTAATAAAAACTAATTGGCGAAACTTTCATGAAAAATATGCAATAAATTTTCACAAAACTATGAGAAATTCTTTAAATTAATGATGGAAATTTTCCGAAATAGCGTTTAGCGTTTTATGAGGATATTATACAGATTTTTTTTTATCATTAGCACGTTCATTTTATGAATACTTTGGATTCATTTATTTGCTATGGTTTATGCATGAAATATTTTTAGGGCTTTAGGATTTTATATTTTCGCATATTGCGTATGCATGAATTATTATTAGTTATTTTCTTTTGCATTCATTTTGCATTCATTTGACAATTCTGAAAAACCATTCATTAAATTTTATTTTTCATAATGTGCCAACTTTTAATTTGATAATTGCTTCGTTGTCAGAAAATATAATCTTTCTTATATCACATTGTCGTTAAATGTTACGAAAATTTTTAATGACATGTGGAATTTCAATATAATCCCACTGCTTTGAGTAAATACTATTCGACTGCACAACATTTTATAAAAAAACATAATATTTAAACAATTAATAAATTATATTTTTTCAAAATGAATCTGATATTAAGAATATTTTTATTTCAGTGTTCACTGATAAAAACTCAGTGATAACATATCAGCACTAAATTTATCTATTAATGGATAATAGCCATATGATGTTGCTTAAGGAAATTCTTGATTCGAAGAAGCTTATAAATATTACGGATAGCAGCAATATATAAGCCAAAAATCGATGCTTAATTAATTTATGACTTTAGCTTTTTTTTTTACTTCAATGATTTAGATTATTTTTAAAAGAGAACTTTCTTCAACAATCATTTTATAACATTAAAAAATGAAAAAATAAAAGAAACCATCGTACTTAAAAATTATAAAAATTATAAATATTTATAAAAATTTAAATTATAAATAAAATAATAGAACAGATAGTTGTAAATAATTGTAAATTCATATAATAGCAATATAATAGTAAATAATTGTAAATTCAAAAAAAGAAAAGAAATGAAAGAGGTTATATCGAATATCTTGTTAAACCTAACCATTTTACGAATAAGCCGATCTAATCACTTGCAAATTAGTGGATAGAATGATGAGAAAAAGCTTTAGAACATAAAGAACTCATCTTCTTTACTTATCACGTTCGATCATTCTGCGTTCTTGATACAAATATTGATCCTGACATTGACGCCGAAGTAATAGTGGCATGAATGTTTTTCAGTTTTTCGATCCACTCCTGAAAAAAATGGTTAAAATATTAAAAATATTGAAAGTCGAGAATATGTTGAAAATAATTATCTAAAGAGAAGAGAAGAGAAATATGAATAAAAATTGTGTGCCATAGCTAAAAAAAAAACAATTTGTTCTAAGCGCCATTTAGCTAAAAAAATTAGAAATTTTTTTTTATTCTTTATTTTTTAGCGGCCTTCACTATTTCTCGTTAGACAAACTCCTTTGGAGTGTTTTAGCGATAGAAATGCGGATGACTCGCCAGTATCACTCGGATTCTTGGACAAGCTTACTCCTGGACAAGCTAGTGAGTAGAACCTTAGCATCGGCGCTTCGAATTGAGCAATACTGCATTGAACCATTCTACACCCAAAATTAAAAGTTGAGAAATTTCTGATATTAAAATCTTTAGCTCTTGAATTTTAAATCGAAAATTTAGTAAATTCGACAAGATTATAATATTTCTTTCCTTATCCATGTAGCATTATTTCTGTGTAAAACAATGGATTACATTAAAAATTATTTTGAGATGAAATATTTTCAAAATAAATACTTTTTACTACTAAAAAAATAAAACATTTTGTCATCATCATCATCAGTTAGAGTCCAATAAAGCATATGAATTCCTGTTGCCACGCAGATAAATTTATTCTCGCCAAAAGATTAGTTATAGAATCCATAATGCTTGCACTAAGAAGTATTAAGCAAGAAGCATTTTGCATATATGACAAGATTAAACTTCCGAAATGCTTATCATAAAAGAAAGCGATTAACACGAATCACAGCCCTCAATCTTCAAGTCTTCAAGATTACCTGTGCAAGCTGATTTGTTAATGCATTGATTGTTGTACAGATAGAATCGTTAAAACAACTTGGCTGCTCAATATTCGCTGTCTTATATAATGCCGGATCTCTTCGAGTCTTTTCATAAACCAAAAAATCTCGATAACGTTTCACTTCCTATTAAAAATCTTCATTTTGAATCATGGAAATTTGTTCAAAATTCGCTTTTTGTTTGAATAATATAAAATAACTTTGTTAAAATTGATAATTATAACAGACAATATAGCATTTATCACCGATTGTAATGAATGACAGCGAAATATAATTGATGCGAAATTTTTATTGCACTTATTTGTTTAAAATAGAAAAATCTTTTTAACGACAAGAGAGATAAGAAAAATGATAACAAATAATTAGTATCTATGTTGAACATTGAAAATTTAAATTCAAAAAAAAAAAAATTTGATGTTTTAATTGCGAAACTCACATCATTTAGATCGTCAAGTCGATGAGAAATTAATTCAAGGCTTTTTCGCGAATTTTCGCATTCCTTTAATGAAAAAAATATGTAATTTATGCAAAAAACATCGAGAAATTTATTAAAAATATTATGAAATTTAAAAATAAAATTTATTAAATTCTTTTATTATTCACAGTTATTATTTAAATATTTGTTATTTAGATAAATGCTTATTTTCTAAGAAAAAAAAATGATTTTCTCGTTTTCCTTCAGCGTTCCCCATAAAAGCTTTTAATGATTAATAACAATAATTATTAATAATAGCGAATTTTTTGGATAATTCTTCGATGCGTGTGATATTTCGTTTTTACATGACAGTAAGCCTTAAAAACTCGTTGATTCGTATTCGTATAAATTGATTTACTCATGCCATGTGAATTTCTTTATCCATTCATGAAGAATAAATGAAGGAATAAAATAACAGATAATTATTTTGATAAAGTGATAAGTGACTAAAGAAATTTGGATTGAAAATTTTATTTCTAAAAGAATGAATTTGAAAATTAACGCAATGAAATTTCCATTTGTTTAGAAAAAAATTTTTTTGAAAAATTTTCCCTGGGAGGTTAGAAAATAATTATATAATAATAATTTTCCAAATAATTATAATATCAAGCAGCACATTCATATTTTTTAGTTGCAGATAAATTTTTAAACTTAATTATTCTAGTATTCCATAAAATCACGCTTAAAGGCTTAGAATATCTCTGAGAAATTGGCTTTAGTCTTTACTAGCCTTAGTTTTTCGTACAATCGATTTTTAATAGTAGTTTTTCGGAAATACCAATCTAGTTTATTGAAAGGAATTTCCCCAACAAATGCAAGATCGATGGTATTTTTTAGCTGAGCCTATTTTAGGCTGCAGATTGCATACACAAACTTTTTTAATCCAAATTGTTGCACTTTTCCTGTTTCTTCCGTGCAGCTTTGATACTATTTCCCATTTTCTGGTACTGCTTCATTCTTTTTCATTCTATTTTTCGGAAATAGCAATCAAATTTATTGAAGCGCTTCCCTCGTTCATTATCCAGAGATTTTTTTTTAAATTTTGCATTTCACTTGTTTACCATTTAATTTCAAAAAAATATCAAATATTTAAAGTATTGAGGGAGAAACTTATAATTTAAAGAAATTTTACAATTTTGCATAATTTTCTTGGAAAAACTTTCACAAAAAGGAAAGATATAAAGAATAAATTTTATAAAAACTTGAAGATTAATCGAATTTTGAGATACGATTCCGTTTTGTTCTAATTCTACTTCTTGTGACGAGAAAATTTTCTTTATGAATGTGAAAACTCTTCAGTGAATTTTTTGAAAATTCTTGCTGCGAAGTCGCGAATTTCATGAAATTACAATATGCATAAAAAAGTGCCTAGTGACTCTTTTCATTTTTTGCTCCACGAGGCGTATATACGGCTAGATATCACTCAGTGAGAAGTACTGCCAGCTCATCTTCCAGAATTATCAATTTTATTCTTGTTTATTCCTCGCCAAGTTCGAAATTCCTATCACAAACAGGGAACAGAAAATGTTTTTCATAGATTATTATTTCAGAGCAAGCAGAAACATCCATTGAAATTTCGAAAAAAACGAAGTAAAATGAATATTTAGAATTTAAATTTCCATGAATATTCATAAAAACATCTAAAATCGAGCGATTTAGCGTGTTTTTTTACAATGAATGTTGGCCTAAGAAGTATTACATTTTAAAAATGCTGAGACCGATAATTTTAAAGAAGCTATTCAACACGAAAATACTTTATAAATAGATTCATTTCGTTTATAAATTAAAACATTCAATTTTAACTTTAAATTTCCAAACTATATTTATAACAAAAAATGATATTAAATTCTAAAGTTTAATTTTCTATTTCAAAGTATTTTATATTTTTTATATTTTATTTTTTTATATTTTTATTTATTTCTTATTCAATAATTTCAGACTTCAAAAGTAATAGAATTTTTATTTACGGTCTCATAAAAAAAAAATGTTTTCTTGAAATTAGCACATTTTAAATTAACACACTTGAAATTTTATGGAGAATATTGAATATTGACAGGAAATTAGAAATCAAATGCAAATCAAGGAAATAAATGCATGTTAGGAGAGAATTTTCGCCTCTTGAATATGAAATTTTACCGCCAAATTACTTAAAAAATATTATTTATTTTCTTCTTTACATATTCAAAAGAGTGGATAAAAAATTAGTAAAGTTAGCCTATATGATCAAGGAATTTTTCAGCTTTTTTCCCAGTATTTTATTTATAAATATGCTGCAGAAATGCTAAAGTAAAGAATGAAGATATCTATACAAGAATGATACTTTTCACTCTTAGTTGAGTGTCAAGCATCATGGGTTTGATTTTTTTCCCTTAATTTTAATTTTTTTCGTAGACCCAAAATCTGCCATTAAGAGTAATATCCTGCGGACCTAATTGTATTTCTATTCTCCAGTGGCTTCTCATAATAGCTATCAGTAAAATCAGGCTTACCGCAAATGAAAAATAAGAAGTATTGAAATAACTTAACTGACAAATAAAAATTTTTCTCTTGCTATTTGCCATCTCTTCACTTTACTATTATTTTGCCAATTATTTATATTTAAGCAAAATTATTCTTTGCTGGCAATAAATACCAATAAACGCAAAAGTTCATTTGTTCATTTGAATAAAGAAAAGATTCGTCAAAAATTTCGAATTAAATTTGAAATTTATGAATGAATAAATAAATAAAATTTGAATAAATGAAAAAAGAGCCACTCATTCAAATAATTTATTCGTTGGATAAATACAATTTATTTATCGCTCTTTCTGATCAATTTTATTTTCACTAAATAAATAAAACAGTCCAAAGTAATTCGAATTTAATATAAAATAATAAATATTTAAGAAGGGAAAAAAAATTGAATTCCATAAGGCGGACAAAAAATGAATTCTCTTAAGACTAATTTAAATTAAAAATTTTATCTTTTTAATTTTATCAGTTCCATCGAATGGAAAAAAAGGCGAAATTATAATGACACTTAATATTTATATAATATTTATATAAGTATTATTTATCATTATTTTATCATTATTATCATTTTATCATTATTTTAAAAATTGTAAAATTGACAAATGCATTAACTTGTAAGAAAAATTTTTTAGAAGACCTTTTTGATAAGGGAAATTTGCAAGTTTGAAGAATATTTCAAATTAAGCATTCATAACTAAATCCTCCTTTTTTCTCTTCTCTAAAATTTCTGTCCATTGAAATTGAAAAATATTTGTTCTTTATTAGAGAAAAAATTTTTATTCAGTTGATTTCAGAAAAAAATTTTTTAATAAATTTATAAATAATGTGGAATTTTATTATAATTTATACCTATTTGATTCATAGTTAATCATAGAAAATAGAATTTTTTTGTATAGAATTAATAATAATTAATAGATAATTATTAAATAGAATAATAAATAACAAAATAAAAAAAAGAATTAAAAAATAAAAAGGAAAAAATAAATAAATAAAGTAAAAATAAAAAGAAAAATTAAGAATTTTTATAGTAAAAAGACTTTTTCTAAAAGCTTACAAGAAATATTTACCTTTAATACTTTATCTATTGTTCGTATTTGATCTTCTATGGTAATAGTATTAGCAGAATTTGTCATAATAAAGTAAATGATTATCAACTATATATGAGCTTATTTCTTATTGCGACTGGCGTTATTTCGTATGGGTGTGGTTGCATTTTCCATTATTTTATTTGTGAAATTGAGAAAAATCTATCTTTTGCGATTCGGAAACGATTCTTTTTCGTTCCTACAAAGACTTTAAGGATTAAAAAAAATTAAATACTAATAAATACTAATATTAATTAAATGTTTCACTTTCAATTATATACGATACGATCAACAAACGAAAATTCCTTCCTTCATCATTCATTCATAGCAAATCGATCCTAAATTTTGCTAAATTATCGTTCTAAAATTATCGCCGATAGCTACAAAATTTCAATTTTTAATTTCTTTCCTCTACGTTTGTTTATTTAAAATTTAAAAAAAAATCAATGAAAAAATATCTCAAAGCAAAATAATGGATAAAAAAAAATAAAATTTTTGCTGAAAAAAAATTTACTATGAATGTATAAATAAAATATTACGAATAAAATTTAGTTTATTTTGCTCCTTTTCTAGTCAAATTTTTCAATGCATGTTTCATCGCAAATTTTCGCATGTAAATAGTTTGAAACAAATAATAAAAGAATGGAAAATCTAATCGATTAATCTAAATTAATGGCAATATTGCTATTTGCTTAATGATTCTTCCTTCAATTAAAAGTAGCGAAGCAACATAAATTGAACAATCGAAAAAGAAAATAAAGGATAATAGGCAAAAAAAAAATATTTAAATATTTAAAATTAGCGAATCGGAAAAAAATTTTGATTGATATGCATAGAATTTTATCATAACTTTAAAGCTGGATGGTGGGCACTTGCAATAGCTTTCACTATTACAGGTTAGGCTGATTCTATTGTCGCATCATCTTTTAGAATTTCAAACATTACATTGTCTTAATTGTTGGCGTATAAGTCATTTTCAACTGTGTGAATGAGTATTTCAGCGATTTTTTATTTGTCGAGAAATAAAAAAACAAATAAATAATAAAAATAAATAAATAATAAAATGGATTTACAAATAAATATATAAATAAACAAAATATTCAAAGCGAAATTTAAAAAAAAAAATTTGAATTCGCAGATAAATATTTGAACTTTTTCTGTCGAAAGCATTCTTCGTTTAAAATTATAAGTTTTCTTTCTGTAACGAAAAAAAATTCAAATAATTTATGAATTCCTTCTCAGCTAATTTCCATATTTTAAAAGATTTTTATAAATTTTGATAGAAAAATGATAAATGATAAATTTTTAAATAAACAAATAAATATGATCATTGATTCATGAAAAAATTTGTGTAATGTAAATTTCAACCATTGCTGCCACTCTAAGAATAAACAATTAAATCAATTAATTTATCCAATAAAATTGCTAAATATCGCAAAAAAGTTAAATTTTCCAGTATATTGCAAAAATGCTAATGAAATAAGCGATCAGCTTTTCAGTTTCAATTTTTTTTTCAGCATAAGTTGGCAAATTTCCTCTTCTAGAATTACGGAACTGCATTTCAAGAAGACCTGTGAACGTTGCTGGAAGTTATGGGAATCGAGGACGGTTTTTGCACTCTTGGAGATTTTTGAATTATTTTAGTGGAAAGTGTTTATAAATATTTTTATATACTACGAGAGATTTAGGTAACTTTAGGATTTTTTTTTTTTAACTTTAGGATTTTGTTTTTTTTCGTTGCTAACTATGATTTAGTTGAATATTGTAAAGTTGCACACGTCTAATTTGTTTTCTAAATTAGTAATAAACGAATGCTATTTAATTTCATATTTGAAAATTTAAAAAATATAGAGAATTAGATGTTGTTATTTCGTTCTCATAGCATTAAAATAGTTAATTAAATCAAATCGAATAATAAAACAATAAAAATCACCGCATTTTTAAATAAACAATTTTGAATAAAATATTATGAATATTTAATAACCATCGACGTTTTATTTTGAAAATAATAAAGAAATTTTTAATAAAAATTGAATAAATATAAATATCACAAATTTAAATAAAATAAATAAATAAATAAATAAACAAATAAAAAATCAAATATAAAGAAAAATTTTAGCTAAGATTAAAGAAAAGCTATTTAAAAGCAATTTTAATTGGCAATAATTCTTTCGATCTTTTTTGTTTCTCTTAAAACATAAAACAAATTTTAAAAATTAAAAAAAAATAAAAAAATTGAAAAAAAAATATTTTTATTTCCGAATTCTGCAAATAATAAGTGAATCGGCTACAAATAGAATTTATTATTTATAAGTCAATGATTGCTTGATTTTTAAATGGATTTGCTGCTGCAATAATAAATTTCAATCATCCATGAAACGGTGACATATTGCGTGTTTATGTTTTTATGTCTTCCGTATTTTTATTTTCCATAATTTGAGCCAACAAACTCTTAAAACTCTTAAACTAAATCGTTGCGATGAATCGCCAAATGAGTCAAATTAAAATTTGTTTATCGAACGATAAAAATAAATTATTGTACGTTGGCCCAATAGCAGAACAGTAGCCAAAATTTTCTTCGGCTGAGCTCTATTTGAATCGAGTAGTTCAAAGAAAATTGACTTTTTATCGAAATGAGTAAAAAAAAAGGATCGTACCATATTAGCAGCAAACAATATCCCTCATTTCACGCTCCATCACTTCATGAAATATCTATCCAAGTTTCTTTTTTTCTTCCTCTTCCTCTTGGCACGTAGGCGATTCCACATTGAGTGAAACTCTATAGGCGACTGCACCAAATGCGCAACTCTTTCAGCCTCCACCATTGGGTTTATTTGTAGAATTTAAGGGCTTATGGCATTTTCGAGGGATCTATATTTCTAAACTTGAATTTTTCAAGCACTCCTACGCTGGCCTTTTTTTAAGAACAACAAAAAACGAGATACCACAGTTTAAACTCATTAGGTGCCAGAAATCAACACTCAAAAGTTCTTGGCTATTCTCTATGCTATCATCATAGGAAACGCATCAGTATTTTATGAAAGCCCTTAAGTTCTATAAGTCAGTGAACTGAAAATACGCAATCATTATAATCTAAAAAATCCTAAAAAAAAAAGAATATTTCGAATAGATATATAAGTATAAAAAAGTTTTTCGAGAAATTCGTATTTTTAATTAAAATAATTTCTACTCGAACATCATATCATAAATCAAATCCTAAATGTCCTCTTCATCGATATATTCTTTTGAATTCGAATAATTCATTATAACATATTAGCGAATTAGCCGAAGCAAGAAATTCGATACAATATTGCCTTTATAAAAATTCTTAATCTAATACAGCAAAAAAGTTTAGATAAATAAAAAAGAGTAAAGCATTAAGCAAAAAGTCCCCATCATGAACCAATAATCATTTTTTTTGAGGGTTGTCTTGCAGAAAGACAATATTTCAGTGAAACCCAAATAAATTCGTTATATTCCCTTAGCATCCCTTTAAAATATGATGCTTTAGTACTATTTTCATAATCACAAAGTTCCTATTATTCCTCTAAAATATTTCTTGCCCCCATTCTTCAATTACTTTTCAATTTTACTCCCTGTTTCTACAGTGATAGAGAAAGTACACTGAAAGATTTGAAGTAGAATTGGGTTACAAAGATGAGATTAAAATGATAAAAAAAGATTCTTAATAATGCTATTAATCGATTATGGATAAAAGAGCACATCGGATCTTTTAGTGTAAAATTTTTCCACAAAATATGACAGTTTCTAGGAGAAGTCGAAGGAATTCAAAGGTAAGAAAACAGAAAGCCATGATAATATTTTTTTCAAAAACGCTGTTCAAGTATTTTCTTAGTATTATTTAAGTGTTTAAGTATTTAAGTGTACAGTCCATTCGTTTAATATTTAGTTTAGTTTCAGTTTTACTGCTATTTTTAGGAAAATCACAGCGAATAATTTACGAACTCAGTTTTTTTTTGCAAATATTTGATCGAATTTTCTTTTGAGTATTTTTTTATTTACGGTTTTTTAAGCTTCTAAAATTTTGCAAAACAGTCGTGCAAATTACTTATTCTTCATACTGAAACACAAGCCTCATTTATGCTAAAATGCAACTCTTTCCATAGCTAACGATAGCTGATTATAAAGTGTTCGTGTTTATTAACCTATAGATTTCCAAAATTATCGTTTTTCATTACAGTTTTTATCAAATCGGCGACATATCACCTTTCATTAGAAGGTCAATATCCGATCCAACGAGGTCAACGATTTCCTCTAGATTTTTTTGTCAAAAATTACTTGTGCACTTATTAAATCATTTCATAGATGGGTAAATAAATGAAAACTGATTAGCGATGTTTGAACAAAATTTTTTTTTCATGATCGACAATTAAAAAATTTTTACAACAAAAATTGATGACTATAGTCATTTTGCGCGAATCTAGTTGAAAAAAAAAATTTTTACATATCAAATAATTTTTACAAATTTTCAGATATTCAAACAAATCGACTCGATTTAGCTCTTTTTATTTGATAATCATTATATCTGACATCGGTTGGAAAATATGGACCATTACGAACCTCGCCATTCCATTTAAAAATTGTCCTTGTATACCTCAAAAAAATTTCTTTTTGAAATTGTTCACATTTGATTTCATCGACTTAAAAATTAACTTTTTTGTATAATTATATACAAATAATATATATAATATAATATTATATTATTATATATAATTATATATAAAGTTGAGAACGATTTTCAGTTAAATTCGCTCTGCTTGTTAGTACGATAAAAGATTTTAGCCAGAGAGTCACTTGGCGTTAAACATATATTCTATTGTTGAAGCTCGAAACGAAATTTGAGCTATAATTACTCTCTACTAACCTCATTCACATAACAAAGTTGTAAAATTTACGAAAAATTTTTGCAAATTTTCAGTTATTCAAACGAATCAACTTGGTTTAACAAAATTCGACTCGTGTAGAATTTCATTATGAAATTATGAAATTATTATACTTAACAAAAATCGTGACTAAAATCACTTTTACCATATCATGTAATGCTATTTTATAGATTTAAAAATTAAAACTTATTTTTGCCTACTATTTTTCGTTCATATTCATCAATATTAAGAAAGGAAAAAGAGAAAAATCCAAAAAAAAATCTCTCTGTCACTAAAATCAACAAATAAATCAAACCATGATGGCCAATCGTGTGGTGCATAACGTCCAAGAGTACCATGGTGAATTTTGGTTAACCGATGTGGTCTTGCATATTTTTTTAAGTCCTCATCATATATAAATGTTTGTCGTTTAATTATTGAGCATTCAGTTAATTTTATCGCTAAACTTATCAATATTTATTTATTTGACACTTAAATATATGCTAAAACTTCAGATTTATTGAATTTTTCTCAATTTCTTTACTCTAAAAATAAACAACGATTTTAAACTACTTTACTTTTAAAATACTTTTAAAAAAACTATGTATATATATGTAAATAATTCACTTAAATTATAAATAAATAATTCAATTTAAAAATAATTTATTTAATTTCAAATCAAATTTTAGATTTAAATCGAAATTAAATCTTCCGTTTTTTTTTAAATAATGAAATAATGAAACCATAAAATTACAGTCCATGAAAACAACAAATACAACATAACGTTTTTATTGTCAATTATTCATTAGACAAAGGATATGTTTATGTGTAAAATTAAATTGCATCTTAAGAAATTGTCATTATCGTTAATAAATAGAACGTTAATGTGGAATGGTTAATTTTAATAAATGTTTTTTCGTAGATTTTATGAATATTTCGTTAATTACTGAAAATAAATTTTAGCTCATAAAATTCCTTTCATAAAAGAATAGAAAAATGAAAAAAAAACAGATTTTCCTTTTATAAATCAATGTTCGAAAAATTAATAATTTTTCTTTAAATTTCATTTCATTGAAATAAAATAATCGAGAAAAATTGAAAATAATTTTAAAAATTTAAAAAAAAAAATTATAACCTAAAATAATTGAAAGAAATATGGAAATGATCGACCACTTTGAAAGCATTTCGTTGACTGCAATAAAATCGAGCGACAATGCGCAAACTATGAATTTCAAATGAAATCAAATTCTAAATTTTAATTGTGTCATTTAGAAATTATTAAGGATAAATTATTTATTTGATAGAGAGCAGTGAATTTTTGGCACATTTTTGTATAACTTTATATTTTTTATATAAATGGGAAGAAGAGAATTCATTAACTTCATTTCTATATTACTTTATCAATCTAAAATGTATAATCTTTTTTACCTAAAGGTCAATCAATCGCATTTTAGTTGCATCGTAATCCTTTCTTTATCAGTTTCTTTATCACAATAGTCATAGTAACAGTCACTAATATGGAAAACGTGATTCATTAGAGAATGCCAAGCAAACCTAGGCTATGTCTCTTTTTTTGGCAAAATTTTCTCACCTTTATCAGTATATATTATTTTTTAAATCAAACTGCTAATTCAGTTTGCTTAATTTATCAAATTATCTTTTTAAGAAGTAATTAAAAATATTGTTAAAAGAAATGAAAACAAAGCAAATTATTAGAAGAAAATTAGGCCAACATTCTTAGCGAATTTCAAACAAAAACTATTTCAAATGGACTGAAAACTTTAAATTTAAATTGAAATTGAAAAAAAAATATTTTGCTTTATTTCAATTTTTCTTATATGATCGGTTTGTTTTCAATAAATAACAAATAACAAATAACTAAAGTATAAATAAAGTATTTCTATAATAACAAATAGTATTTCTAAAAAAAAGTAGAATAGGTACAAGAAGTTTTTAAGGATTTAAATATGAGATTTAAATTTAAGAATTTGTATATTAGAACAGGATTTATTTATTGAATGATAAACAAATTTATAAATTGCAAGTTTTGATATATTAAGACAAGATTTATTTATTGCGGCAAATTTTAATACACATTAAAAGAAGATTTATCAAAATCTGAGGATATCCTTGCCAGTAAACGGTGCAATATCTTATTTTGTAAAAGAAGGAATTTTCTTAGATAATCGTGTACTAAGAGCCCATTCAAAAAATATTTTTATATTCCTGAGATTTCTCATTTTGATTTTTATTAATATATTTATTTTATTTAAAAATTTTATAAAAATGAGAAAAACGAATGATTCCAATAAAAAACAAACGAAAAATGAGCGCCCAATGAAGATTTTGGTAGAAAATTTCGAAAAAATTTAATAAAATTTAACCAAAATTTTAAATTTACCAAATTTCTAAAAAGAAAAGAAAGAGATTAGAATAATATAAAAAATTTGAAATTTGCTGCTTTTTAATTTCCAATATTAATAGACCATAGTATATCATTGATTTTCTTTGAATTGCTATTAAAAAAAACTTTCAAAAAAGAAAATTCACAAATTTAGCTATTAGCAAAAAGATTTGAGGGATAACTACAAGTAAGCATAGCCAATTGGCTCAAATTATACCCACAAACGTCAGCATTCAAATCTTGTCACCGTATGAAGTACCAATTGGACGAGTCTATCTAGAATGACTATTTACTTTTTTAAATCTATCTGCAAATAATTTTGCTGGTTGCTGATCTAATATATCAATAATTCCCATAAAAAATTAAAAGAATTGATAATTGATAGAGCAAAATTCAAAAGAAAATTCAACTACGCAATTTTGATCAATTCTAAAATTTTGGTGAAAACCACTTAGCAATCGCTTTAAGTCTATAAATAAAGATATTATCAAAATAAAAAGCAAGAAAAATTTGCAATTTTTGATTAGCGAGCGGTCGTTTTCAACAAAATATTCCGATTTATTGTTACTTATATTTATTGCTAAATTATCTTTCAGTTTCTGAATTGAACCTTAATTATTCAATAAAAGGCGATTATTTTTCCTATTCATTTACTTATTTTTTTTTGTTGAAAATAACAACAACGTTTTTTCTTTTTTTTCTTTTTTATTCTTAAAATTTTATTCTTTTAATTATCTTTAAATCTGCGTGACTGCTGGAGACCTACCTCTCTCGCTTTCTGGAACATGAATGCTGCTTAAACTAAAGATATACTTAAATCAAAATCAGCCAATTCTATATTCTATCAAAATCAGCCAATTCTATATTAAGGTAAACTAATAGAAAATGCATTAGTTGGATAAGTTGGATAAAGCAACTATATAATTATCTTAAAAAATTCCCAAAGCAGGAACGTCAGGAGATCCTGACTTCGAAGCACAGAGGCAACAGACAGAAATCGCTACTGGAGCGACAAATCCTTGAGAACTGAGAGAGCGGTTCGGTTAGGTAAGAATAGGAAACCATATCGCCTTCACAAAGCAACTATAACTCGAGAATGGGTGATTGTGATCAATGATAATATCAGATAATATCAGAATATTATCAGAAAATATGCCTGTTGTTAAAGTTTGTAAGATGGAAAGAATTTTTTGAGACCAATCTTAGTCACTATGCGCAATCTCTTATCTCGGATATAGTTGATTCGAAAATACGTTTGCAAGTGTTGACCGCCAATAGAACAGGAAATAAACTCTATAATCCACAAGTTTAAGACCAATATAACTCCAGGAGAAGGTGGTCTTCGGGCCGAACTCTTAAAACATCCATCCTCCTTCATATTCAACATCTTCAACAAATGTACTCTCTGGTATGGAAGAGTAAAATATTACCAGATGGCTGGAGCAAAGCAATTCTGCTTCGAATTCCTAAGAAAGGATATACTGACGATTACCGAGGAATCAGCTTACTAGACATCTCAGGAAAAATTTTTGCTTCGCTTATACTAAACTCATGGCAATACGAGATACTAGAATGAATCCTAACCAAGCTGGATTCAGACCGGGAGACGATTGTGCTGACCAGATATTTGCGCTAAGAAGGGGACTGGAACATTGATTTAAATACCAGCAACCCATCGTTATTTGCTTTATCGATTTCGCAACTGTCTTCGATTCGATTGGTAGAGCACCTCTCTGGAAAGTGATGGAATGTAACGGTGTCCCAGAGAAGATCATTCGGCTCATAAAGGCATTTTATCAGCATGCCTTGGCGCAGGTCTACGTATTTGGAGAACGGGATCTGACTGACCTTTTCGAAGTAAAAGCTCCGTCAAGGATGTATCCTTTCCCCTATAATATTCAACTATGCGATAGAATGGATAATGGACATCGCTTGTCGGCACTCAAGAGGTGTGTAAATCAGTCCAGAGCATACCATAACAGACCTTTTTGATGATAGTTCTAATACAGTGCGAATAAATACTAAATTCTGTGTAAACAACTGCAGCTAGAATTGGATTCAGCATCAATGAAAATAAAACAAAGATATTTTCGTCTTATATACAAGATGCCGACCTATTTTTATTAATTCATTGCCGGTCAACTTTAAATAGCTTGGAACGACTCTAATCCTAAATGGCCAGGCAAAGGATGAAATTGTGACTCACATAACGACAGCAGAAAAGTGTTATAAGTTTTTACAATACTGTTTAACCCATCTTCGCTCAACTGCCACCTGATTTTTAATTATCCGAGAGCGGCGCTTTCGCTGGTTAGGGTAAGTCGTCCACCGTACGAATTGAGGCATATTTCGCTATTTACCGAATTCTGTGATGGTTGGCATCAAAAGGGCCAATCAAGGCCTGGACTAATGTAGTCAGGAAAGGAATGGTTGTTATTACTACTAGCAATGGCGCCGAACCGAGTAGCTTGGAGACGACGAGCCAGCGCAGCCAGCTCTCATCACTAACCAATTTTTTATTATTACATGTAAATATTTTTAATATCAAAATATTGGTAAAAACCGCTTAGAAATCGCTTGAAGTCTATAAATAAAGTGTTATAAAGTACTATAAGTGAAGCAGCTACTATTAATGAATTTTGAATTCGTGCAAAATGCATGAACAACTGATAAAATCAATCACTAAATATATATATATTTATTATAACATATATATGCAATATATATATATATTTATAATAAAAAGATTATCTAGAAAAAAATTAACCACCTAATCACTTATAAGTTTTTTAATACTGTTTAACCCACTGGGAAGATTTATGAGAGTAAATTGTTGATATGATATGCAATATAAAGTTTTTACCAAAAAATAAGGATCAAATTCAACATTTTTTGATAAAAACGAATGAAACTTGAAACTTGAAATTTCGACTAGTTTCAAAGGTTTAATGCCATGAAAATGTCCTGCTGCATTGGTATTTGGTTTATGTAGCCGCAATTAGAGAAAAGTTACCTAATCAAATTCTTAAGGCAAATAATTGGACTATTTTAATGATAGCATCGGATTAAT